AGGAACCCCTGCCCCAGGTGATAACACTGTGCAGGCCAGGTAAAGGACAGGCTAGTAGGTCACTCTTTCTCTGTGCCCTGGGCAGTCCAGCCTAAGGGGTCAGGGAACTGGGCACACATACACCCACAAACACCAAACAGCCACACACTCAAAATACACACCTCCACCTCCCAATCCTAAATAAATATACTCAATACCACCCTTATACAAATGCCCACACACAATACAACCCACATGCATACAAGATCACACAGAAACACAACACAGCCCCACACACCCAAATACCCTCTCCCCTCCTCCACACCCATCTGCAGCCTCATCTCCCTGACCCTACTGAAGAAAAGGGAGTTTTCAGGAGAAAAACAGAGACCTTTGGCCTCAGAAAGAGCCAGGGATGCCAAGGATCAATATTGTTTAGACTCGGCTAGCATGTATTTCCTCCTGGGCTGAGAAAGATTTAAGTTTATGGTTCGATCTGATCTTTAAAAAAAAAAAAAAGGGTAGAAAATGAGGAAGTTGGGATATCACACTCCAGTATTTATTTCGATGCAGCCCCAGACTTTAATACACAGGCTGCTCACTAAGCCAGCCCCGTAAATCAGAGGTATCAATGCCTGTTTATGGTTATTACTACTTTCTTTTTTTAGAGGGGGGTGCAAGAAAGAGGTCTGAAAGGAGTCCTCCTCCCCTCTCCTCTGCCCCAGTCAGAAAGATGGAAAATGGGGTGTGGGGGAGAGAAGCCGGGAAAGCCATTCTGGACCATTGACTTCAGGCCTTGGCCAGATTCCTGAGGGAGAGGCAGTCATAAGAGCAGATGAGACACAGAGAAAGGCTCAGCCACAGAGGCGGCATGGACCAAATGTTTAAGTCCTGGGAGCTTCAGCTTCCTCCACTGCACAAGGAGGAACGTTCTCTGGGCTCAGAGTGATTGAAAGGAAAAAAGGAGATAACAGGGCAAGAAATCAAACTGCATAATAGTGACGCAGCTCAGCACTTTCCTAACACAACCAAGGGCAGAGGCAGCCACTTCCTCTCTATCCTGGGGTGAAGGGGAAGAGCTCTTCGCTTTGATCTCTCGGAAGAGGTGACTGATGAGGATCCTTCAGGAACAGGACACCTCCTGGAACTGCTGCTCATGTTGGTCCTGCCCTCTGGATCTGGTGGCCTTGACGGGCTTAGGTACCCTAAGAGGCCACAGTGGGGAAGGGAGAAGGAAGGGCAGCCCCGTTTCCAGGCACTCAAAACGGTAAGGTTCTCTGTAGAGCTGGGCACCTCCCAACACTGGATCTGGATGTGACCAGGAAACCTCTTAATGTTCTGAGCTGTCTGGATTCAGAAAGGAGTAACTTGGGCCCCAGGTCTCAGACACTGTAACCTGAAGGCCTGGAGAGAGTACAGATTCCAGGCTCCCCTCTCCCCCATGGAAAACAAAGAATGTACTTCCAACCATCAGAAAACAACTCCCTTGCGCCAACCCAAGAAAAGCCCATCTCAATGCTCCCGATTCTTCACACAAGGATTGGTTGAGAACCTATTATGTGCAGAGGTTACTCCACACATCCTAAGGCATGAAAGGGATAGACTGAAGAGATTGACTGCAATAACGTTGGGAACCCATGGCAATGTCAAAAGTGCTCTCCAACTCCAGGCCATCAAACACTTAGACCTCAAAGCTTGGAGCAGAACTTGGAGGGCCCCTAGGCCTCCTGGACCTGGAGCCTAGCACTGTCACTTCCCAGGACATAGGCTTCAATTAGAGGGAATTTATCAAGAAAACAGGCAAAATGACTGGCCATTCTCACTCCTCACTAAATCAGTCATACAAAAACAACAGGAAAGAAACCCAAAGGAAGAACAGAGAAACAGAGCTTCCATGCATGCACACACCCACATCTACAAACATCCTGGCGTGCAAACACAAACGAGCACATGGACACACACTGTGAACTGTGAATGCACAAACATCCAAGTGTGCATCTAATTACAGAGAGATGAACACTCACTTGCACAATACACGTGTAGAGATGAACAAAACCAGGTAGGTACTCATGCACCAATATCTGCACATGATCACATACACATGTTTTCGGAGACACTTCTGTATCCAGCCACACACATACAGGCACATGCACACACATGCTGCAGAAGAAAGGGGAAAGCGGAAGGGCAGAAATTACTACTTTAAAAAATCCTGGACAAAAGGGAGATGCTACCTCCTGAGGAGGGCCCTCCCCTTCCCACTCCTAGTCCCCAAATACCAGGGTCCCAGAGCCTGCCCAGGAAGGATGTGTCCTAGGGTCAGGGGCAAAAGCCTAGACATTTCCCTAAGGGTCCAGGGAGCTTGTGTCTGAGCCTCCATGGGTTAGGAAGCAAGCCGGGTTTTGTTGGGAATTCTGAAAGCACCCCCCCTTTCCAACATCCCCTTAGGTTTTGGGTGGGGATGAGACAGGCCTGTGCCCATATGGTTGGTGGGCGCCCAGTGTGATCCCAGCAGCCGGGACCCAGTGGCGGCCACTTTGCATAGCCCTCCAGCATCCAGGCCTCTTCTCTCCCGGCTTTTCGGGTGATCGGAGGCCTACGAGGCTCCATGAGCTGCTCTCGCCCAGCCGCCGCACCCACAGAATCTCTTCTCCAAACGAAGAGCGAGGAGCGGTGAGGTCTGAGCGGCCAAGAGGCCGGGCGAGCGCCTCTCGCACCCGCGGGCCGCTCAGGGCCCGAGGCAGCCCGTCACCTCTGCCTTGCCCTTGAAAGGCCTGCTTGTAGAGGTGGAAACCTCAGAACCGCAAGCAAAAACCTGCACCAGAACCAAAAAGAAAAAGGGAATGTGCGGGCTGGAGCGAGCAGCAGATTGAACAGGAGGCGGCCGCGGCTGGGCAGCCCCTGGCCCGGCGCAGGGAGCAGCCCGACAGCCGGACAGGGCTTCCGAAGTGCGGCCTGGGGTTTCCAGCCTTAGGGCTCCTTTGGACGCCGTGGGAAACCAGGCGTGTCCCCCCAGACGCTGCAGAGCCGGTCGGTACCGGGGTCCGGGCCGCCGCTGC